GAAACCACCCATTGGCTATAGTTTTACTTGCAGTGTTCCTTTATGCCATCAGCCCAATGCTTCAGCTTGCATTTAGGCTTGCAGCCCAACAGAATGGAATGGGAGTGTCTCCAGTAAACACCACAAGGTCTCCGGATATCACAATACCACCTTCAGGATGTCAGTTCATCCTCAACCCTCTTGGATGCATCTGCATGTGTAAAGGAAGAATAATAACGATGAAACAATAAAGAAAAACAACACAGGAAAGGGAAAATGAATGGGAGAGACCACAACAGTGCAGCAGAGAAATAATACAAACTGTAACAACAACAAGAGAAAATAGTCCCACACAAAAAACCATGTTTACAGTACCAATCATCAGTACGACTCCAGAGAAAAAAGAGAATGCACACATCCCACTGTACTGCGGAGGACCCCCAACCTCAAATCAAAAAAGCAAAAAAAAATTAAAAAAACAGAATCAGCTGCCACAGCACATACAGTACTACAAAAGTACATCCTTCCATAGTCACGTATAGGAAATTATCAATATGTATGTATATTTGCTATTACTTTTCCTCTCTGGACAAAACAATCCAAACAAAGGTAAATCAAACAAAAAGAAATTAACAAGTAACCCACGTTCTACAGTAAACGCCCAAATACAACTACTATCAGTGTAAAACGTTGTAAACTTAATTATTAATATATGTATAAAAGTGTATCTCTTATATATATTTTTTCTCATGGCACACGGCAAGCTGTCATTGGTGAAAAGAAAAGCCCACAGTAGCGCAAACACACACACACACAATGGAGTAGCATATATAGGATAAAAACGAAAAAAAAAAAGAAAAATAAAGCAAAAAAAATTACCAACAGGTGGAAGATTAGTTAGACTGTAGGGATGTATGCAAAAAAGAAAAAGAAAAAGGAAACAAAGGATGACCTGAGCCACAACACCACACAATCACAATCAGCACACAAGAATACAGGCCAGTGTAACCACAATCAGTAGTGGTACACGCACCCACACAGAACTGCTGATACTGCTGCTGCTGTCTGCATCACCCTTCTTGTTGTTTGTGAGTTCAGGAGGAAGTGTTGTTGTTATGGTGGTGGTTGTTGTTGATTCCTCACTGGGTGTAGCACCATTATCAGCAGTGTCTTCTTGTGAAGATGTGGCAGGAGCTGCAGTAGATGCTGTGGAAGAGGATTCTGTTGCTGGAATATCATTAGTAGATGTATTTGCACTTGATCCACTCTGGCTTTCTGCATTGTGCTCCTTCTCCTGACTCTCTTCTTGGACTGTAGGCATTGGTCCCTGCAGTTGAGGTTGGGAAGCCTGTGGAACTTCATGGTTCACATTGGGTTGACTGGAAGATTGCGGATCTCGTGGCTCCTGAGGTTCCTTATTTGTTGACTCCTGTGGGTTTCCACCCTGCTGAGGTTTAGAGTTATCTACTGGTAACAAATCCTTCTCTTCACTACCATGTCCTTGTTCACGATCCTGGTCTTTTAGAGCGTCAGAAGGATGGGCTGCTGGTTTAGCTGGAGGAGTGGCAGGTGCTAGAGATTCCTGACCGACTTCACCTTTTTCACCTTGCAATCCATTTGCTCCTTCTTTATTCCTCAAATCACTTGTCAAAGAAACGCCACTACCTCCTTTCATTTCGTCTTCTTTTCCTATTGAAGGCTCATCTTCCGAACGATCTTCTTCTCCACTGGGAAGCGCAGTCCCACCTCGTGTTGGCTGATCCTGCACATCTACATCCCCCTTGTGAAGTTTACTGCTTTCAGCTATACGAGACTCAGGACCAGATGGAACAGGAACCGGTATTTCTAGTGCAGGATTAAGAGAATGAACATCATCAGTAGATTCAGGAAGTTCACCGGAACCATGGGAACCTTGTTGAAATGGTGCAGGAGGAAGACACTCAGAATTACCACCATCGCAACGTTTGACTTCAAGCTCACCAGTCACAGCACACGCACACAAAACGTTCAGAAGCAAAGCCAATAAGTACAACAAACGGCTGGGCAACAACATCATGGAAAGATATTTTCTTTTTTGTTGAGGAAACCTTGACAAACAAACAAAACAAAAAACAAGCTAAAATAAGGAAGAAGCAAATTTGCAAAAAAAAAGGAATAAAACAATTAAATAAAACAATACACCGAATATAAGAAAAAAAATTCTGAATAAAGTAGCACCTATCAAAAATCCGAATAAAAGTAAAAATAAATTACGAGTACCACCAGCGACACATCCAAACACGCAGATCGGAGAGAACGGGGTACACTTGAGTTAATAAGCAATTATGAATATAAATATTTCTCTTATTATATTTTCACTCTACCAAAACAGTAGTGGTCAAAGCACACAAAAACATCAAGCAAATAAACAGATATTAACTGTTAGCCCAATCTACCCAGTAAACACAGAAATATATACCAACTATGGGTGTAACTCTATATGTGTGTATATAAGCAATTATAAATATAAATTCATCTGTTATTATTATTTCTTTTCTTTTCACTGCAAAAAAAAGTTCATCATCATCATCATTACAGTGCAAGCCCAGGTGCACACACAGAGAGAGTCTCCAAGAACACACACACACACACAATGGAGTAGCAATAATAATAATTATAGGATAAACATAGAGAGAGTAAAAACACACACAAAACACATTAACATTAAAAAACAAAAAAAAGAAAAGAAATCCCAACAGGTGGAAGATTAGTTAGACTGTGGGGATGTATGCAAAAAAAGAAAAAGAAAACAAAGGATGACCTGAGTCACACCACATCACCACCATTACAATCAGCACACATGAATACAGGCCAGTGTAACCACAATCAGTAGTGGTACACGCACCCACACAGAACTGCTGATACTGCTGCTGCTGTCTGCATCGCCCTTCTTGTTGTTTGCAGGCTCAGGAGGAAGTGTTGTTGTTGTTGTGGTGGTGGTGGTGGGGGTTGAAGGTGATGCCTTAGTACTGGCTGTAGTAGAATTCTCCCTTGTTGATTTACCTTTTGGAGGTGCAGTGGAAGTTTGTGAAGGAGGCTGCACATCACTTTCTACTTCGTTTTCTTTTCCCTTTCCTGGATTAGCCGTTGCAACCTTTACTTCAGAAGTTGATGATTCCATAGTATTCTCTGCGTGATTATCTCTCTCTCCACTTTGTGTGTTTGCAGAACCTGATACTTGTCCATTATCCTGAGAAACGACAGGACCAGCACCGGGGTGAGAACCAAGTGGCGTTGTAGGAGAAATAAGAGTGGTGGCAGCAATACCAGCATCAGAATAACCACCAGGAAATCCAGGAATAGCAGCAACAGCATTAGCACCAACTGCGCCATGATTACGTACACCAACAGTATTAGAAGGAGTCTGTGGAGATGCATCAAGAGAATCGGTATCACGTACCAGGGCTTCACCACGAACAGGAGGTTGAGCCCTTTCACCTTGTGGAAGATTAACAGCAACGCCAGGGGCAAGTCCAACCCCTGGCCCCATTTGACCGCCAGCACCAGCATCAGGTTGTCTTTGTAGAGCTCTTTCCTTAAAACCAGAAAAATCAGGATGCCCAGGAATAGCAGCATTAGTAAAGGACTCACTTGTTACGGGAACCTTACCAGCACCCGGAGCCTGGTTAACAGTAGCGGCAACACGAGAGGTTGTGGAAGATTCCGGAACACAATGACTGTTATTCCTCTTGCCATTATCACCAGTAATAATGGAAGTGCAATTATCATACGTAAAACCAGGACCAGGGTAAGAGCCAGGATTTTCTGGAGAAACAAGAACATCAACTTGAGGTTTATCAATACCTGGCACACCAGCAACGGCTTCGGCTCCACCAGGATGAGAGCCAACACGTGCAGGAGGAACAGGACCAACACCAGGAGCACCAGGAATAGCAGCATGAGGAGCACTAGGGTGCGGAGGAACACCAGAACCGTGAGAGCCTAGCTGTACATCAGTAGGACCACCGAGATGCGAAAAAGCAGCAGCGTTAACTGAACCATGAGAAGGTGCTTGAGAATGAGAAACCCCCTGAGCTGACACAGAAACACAGACAACAACACTCAGCAGCAAAGCCAGCAAACAGAATATACGATGCAACATCCTTTCGGCAAAAGTTTTTCCTCTTACTTTACGCATTTAAAACAAACAATAAAGAAAAAAAAGAAACAACATAAAAACAAAATACAACAGACACATACACACATAGACAGAGGAGGATAAAACCACAAAAGATTCCCTCACACAAACCAAGAAAAAAAGTATAAATAATAAAGAGTCCAATAAATGGGCACCACACAAACAAGACCCAGCAAAACCATTAAAAAACAATTAAACAATTGAGCCCAATTTACCCAATAAACACAGAAATACATCAATTATGGGTGTTAGTCTATACGTGTATAAACAATTATAAATATAAATTCATCTGTAATCATTTCTTTTTCTCATTGCAAAAAGCAGTTCATCATCATCATAGTGCAAGCCCAGGTGCACACACAGTGAGAGTCTCCAAGAACACACACACAATGGAGTAGCAATAATAATTATTATAGGATAAACATAGAGAGAGCAAAAACACACACAAAACACATTAACACTAAGAAACAAAAAAAAGATAATCCCAACAGGTGAAAGATTAGTTAGACTGTAGGGATGCATGCAAAAAAAGAAAACAAAGGATGACCTGAGTCACACCACACCACCACCACCATTACAATCAGCACACAAGAATACAGGCCAGTGTAACCACAATCAGTAGTGGCA